TATAATTATATATTATAATTATAATTATTATTATTATTAATATTATTATATTAATTAATATTATTATTATTATTATTATATTATTAATATTAATATTATTATTATTATTATTATATTATTAATATATATTATATATATATATATTTCTATGCTTCCCACCCACTTGTAGTGCGCGTATGGACCACGAGGCTCAAATATATTTCCACCATTGAAAATTCTTATCGAATTGGAATATTCTTGAAAATTCATATTGAGATCTAGGGGAGAGACTATTAACCCTTAGCGCTCCGTTGGCTCCGCTATGGAGACATCCGTCATTTGTTCCGTAAATCCGAAGGCTCTGCTGCGGAGCTCAATATTTTTAGCATGATCACACCGAAGATGCTATGTTCTCGTCGACGTCGGCAATTGCTATTTGTAGTGAAAACGTGCTCAGCGTGTGTACCATTACGATTAAAACATGTTTTGCCCATTTTTATACTTGGCAACATAAAATGAATAAAATCAAACGCTTTCGCAAGGACGTGTAATCTCTTCCACTCAAAATAAGACTTCCTTTATCTCAGGCGCTTTGCTCCAAAAACGTGCCAGAGTTGCTGGTAGGTAGTACTGGAGAAACGCGTGGAGCGCTAAGGGTTAAGAAAACTGGCGAAGGGAAGGATCTAGGAAAAAGATCGTCGACCATTGGCAGCGCGCCCCTATTTACATCTTTCTTCGATCTCGTACCTTTGACAGTGGTAGCTGGATACTGGTGCGATTGTAGCGCAGCGGACGGCTGCCTGCAAAGCCATAACATCCCCGCAGGTAGTTTAAAGCGCGCAAGACATACTCGTAAAGCGTTTCCTTGTCAGGATGCAAGACAATCTTGCGACATAATTTTCAAAGCGTTTCCCTTACGCAAACACGACGGAGGAGGGAACAATCGAGGATAAATAAAACATATATAATCCTCGCGTCTAACAAATGAAGCGATTTGTCCGGCAGCCTGACGCAACACCTGACGTCAGAGCACATAGTAACCCCGTACCGGTCTACCGTGAAAGGTGCACACGGCTCCGGCTCGTCCCACTCGTCCATCCGAAGTGTTAACAATCCATCGAGGAGTTAGCCCGCAGCGCGATATCCGTGCAAGAAACGTTAAGTAACGACTCGGCCGATACCGTTCCCGGCGCATATAAAGAGGACGGTGAACCGAGGGACGAGCGGATCGGGCCCGAGGATCATTTAGAACATAACCGTGTTTCATCCTAAAGATCGTATTTATGGCGGAGCCCGTTTAAAAGGCGGGCCCCGTGGATCGGCAAAAGGAGAGAGGGACACACACAGGGGACGCTGCGCCGGATGGAATGATGTGCGGCCGAATCTGCTTGGCTCGCGATGGAAAGGGCTGTTCCCGGTTGTCGATACATGGGCCGTGTCGGGGTCCCGAGTGACGCTAATCCTCGCGTGTGAAGAGGACAGTGAACCAGAGTCTCTGGTCAGAGAGATGCCGCGCTCGGCTCCGTAACTCAGCCCGCGTGACTCACGTCGAGCGTTTCTCGCAGGATCAGAGCATCGTTGTATTTCAGAATCCAGGAAACCAGGAAGTCGCCGGGCATTATGAAATCGGAGATATTACGGGAGGAAGTTGTATTCACGGTGATCTTATGGGCACGGCCCGGCCCGGACCGACGCCGAGCGGAGCGGAGCGGCGCGGCGCGGAGCGGGTACGTGCCGCCGAAGCGTAGCGTAAAATATCATCGTTATGCACCGCTCGAGGTTAATATTAGCCGCGGCGCCGCCGTCCACGATATTTACTATAAGCCCATTGTTTTATGCGGCGCTGAACCCCGGCCGACAGCCGCTGATACAGTTGTACGCCGCACCTCCGCAACGCTGCCTACTGCGGAGCGGTCTTGCGAAATCGAATCGAATGACCGCTCTCGAGCCGCGAGCTCGCCCGTTTCCGTCCCCTGTCGGGCCCCGGGGATTTTTCGCCGGCCGCCGCTGTCGATTTTCCCATTGGCGACGGCTTCTGGTGCCGATAACAAAGGGTCTTTCATTAAAACGCGATAGACCCGCGAACACGAACGGAACCAGTTGCACGGGAGCCGCTGGTCTTTGTTGCAGCTTTGCGGGTATTCGATGCCGTTGCTTGTCCGCATTCGTCTTTAAACGATCGCTCGTAACGCGCCCGCGTCAACCGAGACTCGTCAACCTTTGCACGCTTTTCGTCGTTCTGTTGGATTTTTTGCCAGTGAAAAATCTAACACGTCACTCAATAAGTCTCCGGTCTGACACATATATGGCAACACTGTTACATGATTTCTGGATAGTAGCATTCTTCGAACGATACATGTCAAAATTTCATGACATTTTGATGATTAGTTTACAGGTTACAGTGGTTTTAGTGACCCCAGTTTTGTAATTTTCAAAACAATGGTTAGAAAAGAATTTCGTGTATCGATTAAACATTGTTTTTTGATGGGGAAAAATACTGTTGAAGCCAAACAGTGGCTTAATAAGCGTTACGAAGACTCTGCACCAGGGAAATCAACTATTATCGACTGGTATGCTAAAATTAAACGCGGTCGTACAAACGCCGATGATGCTGAACGCTCTGGTCGCCCAAAATCGGCAGTTGTTCCGAAAAACATAAAAAAAAGTCCACAAAATAGTTTTGAAAGACCGTATAGTGAAATTGCGTGAGATAGCTGACTCCTTAAAGATATCAGAAGGTAGCGTGTTTACAATTTTACGCAACAATTTGAGCATGTGTAAATTGCTTTCGAAGCGGGTGCCGCGTTTGCTCGCACCGGATCAAAAACAACAACGCGTCGACGATTCGGAGCGCGGTTATGCGATGGTTAAATCGAACGAATTACGCTTCGAATTGCTTCCCCACCCACCGTACTCTCCAGATCTAGCCCCCAACGACTATTGGCTTTTTGCAGACATTAAAAAGATGCTCCAGGGAAAGAAATTTGGCTCAAATGCTGAAGCGATTGCCGAAACGGAGGCCCATTTTGAGAACAAAGACAAATCGTTCTACAAAAAAGGCATCGAAAAGTTAGAGGCGCGTTGGAACGGATGTATCGGTCTTGAAGAAGAGTATGTTGACGAATAAAGTCGAATTTCAAAAAAAATTTGTTTTTCTTAGCTAGACCGGAGACTTATTGAGTGACGTGTTATACTGCTCGCAGCGGCGGGAACTTGTCGAAGCGGATCTAGACACGATCCAGTGGGCGATGACCTTTAATCTGCGATCAATAAGCGATTCAACTGTCATTGACCCAGTTTCCCAACTCGGAACGACCGGACCCAAATGCAACCTAGTTTCAACGCAACCCAGTTTCCACCCTATGCACTTTGCTCCGACTGTTTTCACCCTAATCCAGTTTTTGACCCCATTCAGTCTCCGTCTAAGTTACTTTTAGTCCCCGCGAAGGGAGCTAAACCGTGAGACCTTGTACACGTGACTTAGCGGACATCCCTTGATACATTTCAACATTTTGTTTCAGGTGATACCGGCGGAGCGTCGGGTACCGGAGAAAGAGGAGACCTGGTCGCTAGCCCCGGAGCCAAACGATCCCTGCACCAACTGCGAAGATCTGCCCGAAACAAAGTCTAAAGGTTCCCAGGATGAAGCCCCGAAGATCCCTGAAGTACCAGAAGCGTCCAGCGAAATTCCAGAAACTGGCACGCTACCTAGAAACCAAGAGTCCCGAAAGAGCAAGACGAAGAAGGTGAAGAGCTACCTTAGGAAATGCAAGGGTGCGCTGTCGAAAGGAGACGAGGCCTCCTCGGACAAGAAACGCCAGGAACACTGCAGTTCCTGGTATCTGGAAGAGGCCGTGTCACCAGAGGACACGGATCCGCGCGAGAAACAGCGCGAGGCTTCGACCGACAGGATTTCCGAAGCCGAGGAAGCTGTGGAGGCAGTCGAAGAGGACAATGCTACCGTATCGCAAAATCCTTCTAAGAGCGTCGACGACGGCGAGACTCCTGACGAGGCTTTGGCTAGGCTGCTCGACGAGGATCGGAAGAACGATCTGAGAAGAAGTCGATCCTCTCTGTACGAAGATGCTAGGGACTCTATAAACGAGCAAGCCACGGTTGTCGAAAGTAACTCCAGCAAGGTAGTTAAAGACAGGAACGAGGCGGTGTCTCTGGAAACGCTGACCACCGAGGACACGAACCTGAACAAGTGCGACTCCAGCGATACTTTGATAGCGGAAGCGGGGGAGGTATGCGCTGCTTATCAACCGGCTGACGGCGAGCAAGCTGACGAAGAGGAGGGCAACGATGAGACGCTGCAGGCGATGTCTCTGCTTGGGGTGAGTGGACGCTTTGTGTTTGCCTGGTTTAGATTGCTCTTATTGTTATTATCTAGCAACGCTTCAGAAGATGACTCTCTTTATAGAGCATGATCGTTCGTAAAGTCGTCTCATTTTTTCGTTCCGTTTCACTGAACTCGTTACAACAAAATGTTTGCGCCGCTTAAAGCCCGTTCATTCTGCCAGGCACGAGATTTTGGAATGTTGCTTTAGACCGAGTTCGAGCGTTCTAAGATGCTCCTCGAGCAAGTTTACACGTAGATTTACATGTCCAAGAATCTCAGTTTGCAAGCGTTTGACCGCGTTCGAACATTCTGTTCCACCTAGAATCGGAGCAATATAATAATGGTGATGCAGTTTTCACGCGTTATGTTAGCGTAACTTAGCTTACTCTTGTCGGTGACCAGCAACGCTTCAGAAGATACTCTCTTTATAGAGCATGGATGTTCGTGAAGTCATCTCATTTAGTTTCGTTTCACCGAACTCGTTATAATTCACTGAACCCGTTCATTCTGCTAGGCATCAGATTTTGGAAAGTTGCTTTAGTTCCACTTATCTAGCAATGTGCTTACTCCCGTTCGTAGAACGTTTACACTTAAAAAAATTTAATTTCCGAGCGTTTGACCAAGTTCGAACGCTCTAAGATGCTCCTCAAGCAGGTTAACACGTCCGACTGTCCAAGAACCTCAGTTTGCAAACGTTTGATCGCGTTCGAACGTTCTGTTCCACCTAGAATCGGAGCAATATAATAATGGTAACGCAGTTTTCACGCTTTGTGTTAGCGTAGCTTAGGTTGCTCTTGTCGGTGACCAGCAACGCTTCAGGAGATGACTCACTTTATAGAGCATGAATGTTAATGTTGTAAAGTCATCTCATTTTCAGTCATCTCTTTTAGTTTCGTTTCACCGAACTAGGCATCAGATTTTGGAAAGTTGCTTTAGTATCTAACAACGTGCTTACTCCCGTTCGTAAAACGTTTATTTTAAACAAATTTAATTTCCGAGCGTTTGACCGAGTTCGAACGTTCTGTTCCACCTAGAATCGGAGCAATATAATAATGCTGACGCAGTTTTCACGCGTTGCATCCGCGCGGACGCCGAACAACCGCGTCGTCGTGTGTTCGCGTTCGTCCACGTTCGGCCAGGTTCGAAGGTGGCGATGGTCGCCGAGGCTCGGTTTGTTTACGAGGCGAGCAAACAGGGGAATTACTCATAACGCGAGATTTTCCTCGATACCGCGGGCCCGATAACATCGATCTCTCGGCGCGGCTTGGCGGCCTCCGTGGCACTGCTATTGAATCTAACGGTACCGGGCGAGCAACGTGTATAAAAGGAGCGTGCAGCGGCCATTTGAATACAAACCACAAACGGTTTACCGCGGACCCGTGAGCGCGAGGCAGTAAAGCAAATTGCAACCACATGCGCACACACGGGCGTGTACACACTCGCGAAACGGTGGCCCCGGCCGGCGGAGCCCGGGCTCCCTGCTTAGTAATTTATGCCGGCGGTCTTAATGCACTTGTATCGATGATTAAAACGTAATTTCCCCGGATGGTAAGAAACAGCAACGGCAAGCGGCGCGGCTGCTTTTTGCCGATCCTTCCCGCTTTATGATTTACGACGCCCAGTTTTCCCGGCGAGGCTGATTTACACGCGTTGTTGTCGCGTTCCGAGGGATACCACTCGCGCGACGCGGCTATTTATCGCCCGACGCCGACTGCCGTGCCGGAATCTCGGGGATTATTGAAATTCGGGAACCGATTGGGTGGTCTCAGAGAAACTTGTTCGGGGTACATTCAAATTATCCGGCGGCCCTCGCCGGCGATCCTTCCTCCGGCCGAACACGATGGTAGTCCGGGCCGGCGACTTTTAACGACCGTAACATTGACCGACATATTCGCGGTCTCCAAATTATTTTCATTCCCGATCACGGCTCTGGCAAGCGTTTTTTTATGGAGTTTTAATGGGTGTAGTTGTTGTTGTTGTTTCGCGATAATTGCGGACGATCTTGTTCGAGTGTTTTATGACTTTTTGACGACAGTAGGTCGGCCCGGAGAAGGTTAATGGAACATTTACAAGTAACCATTGGTTTCACTTCCAGATTTCACAGGTTTCCCTTTCGCTTCTGAGAAATTCAATTTTGTCTTCTATCTATCCGTCTATCTATCTATCTTTAGCGATTGCTAAATCACACATCCGCGAATTAAAATTCTGCATCGAATTCGCCAGAAATGGGTCAAGGAGAAATTAATAGTTTCCTTGTTTTGTAATTTTCATAGATCGTTGAAAAGAAAATTCCAACCAATTAGTTTTCTTACAGGTGCATTAAATCGGTGGTCTATTAAACGACAAGAAAGATTCGTGAAAAAGTTGTAGGCAGAGTTGTGGTTTGCAAAAGTCCGTGAACGTAATTAAACGTCACATAAATACTGTATCGGTCTACGCCCAAACTTTCCCCGTTGGCGAACTTTTTCAGATCGATCCTCGATGATTTCTCGGTAGCAGTGCGAATGATTCTCGATCGATAAATCTCTCGGTCGCGATTAAGCTCACGGTCGCCACACGACAGTCACGAGCGTCGTTACTCACAGTTATTTTAAAGGTAATTTTCAATTCGCCGTGTAATAATTAAGTAGGATTCTGTTCCGCGGAACACTTGTTTAGCCGCGGGGTTTACAACTGTTCTCCGATGTGATTGAAAGGTGGCTGCGCCTTCTAATGCAGCGGGAGGTTAACGCCGTCGCCTGTTCCCGCTGCATACAGGGTGGGCTCCGACAATCGTTGCCGGAATCGTTCAATTAACTTCTCTCATTGTGCGAACGGGCTCGCCGTTTTAATAACAAATTACCGCGATGGTATTCGACGAAATTTATGGCCGATGCTTTACGATGAGCGCATAGACCTCGCCGGCGCTGCCTTTTCGGCAGTGAAATTGCACAACGTTCGATGAAATGTTGCTTTCACCGAGCCGGAAGAGGATGCACCAGTGACGAACGTGTTTAAAGCTATCGCGATATCTTTATTTGCTAATCTTAATTGCTGTTTAATACGGTACGAAGTATGCCAGATTAATTATAGAATGTCACTCCACAGAAATGTCTTTAACGTTTGCTTTTATACGCGAGCAGGCTATATTTTTACTGCCTCTTTTTTCAGAAACGCTATTAACATTTTTCGTTGCAACTTCCATATTTGTGAACGGATATGGATCATAAACTCTTGGAACGTTCGGGGATTGCATCATACATCGTTCTTTACTTACGTAAATTATATAAAAAATTGTGAAGATGTTTATTTGTCAAAAATAGCATTATTGCGGTCAATCTTTGACGATGGAAGTAGAATTATACGATTTAGGCTCGTTGCTCGACGCTGAAATTCATCCTCTCGGCGCCGAGCGAATGATTCGTGTGCACCTGAGCGAAATACACCGAACTTGCTTGATTTAGTTTGATAAATCTCCGGAAAGAAATGACAACAATTTTGTAAAACCTGATAGTTATAAAACTCAGAAGGGAAGAAAGGAATAAGAAATGAAGCTGTCATTAATCAAAAATATTGGGAAAATAACATTGTAGCGTAGTCGGCAACGACGTATCGTTGCTCGGCACTAAAAGGGTTAAACATAGTATGCAAGCTGCGATTTGGCGCTTCGCGAGACGAGATAGAAATATCAACGAACGAAGCGTTTGAAACCAGTTCGTGCACTACGGGCGCGGACGTCCGGGCAGAAAAATTGGAGTTCGTAACAGCAGTTTCGCAAGGTTCCGCACGAACCATTAAACCGGCGAGGCCATTATCGCCGGGAGATAGCCCGGATCGTTAGGACCACCCTGTATATCGCGTCTTTCGGCATAGGCGTCGGCAGAACTCGCGGCGATGTCGTTTGTCACGTGGCCCGTGGTAACTCGCGTACAGGCCGTGCGGGGCTCGAATCCCACGAGTCATGTTCCCTCGCGAACTGTCATCGATAAGGCATGATCGATAAACGAGACAAATTCACGGCAATCTCACCCGCGTTACGCCCACGCGAATTTCAGTGGGAGACAACGATCGAAGGAACACGGGACGACCTCGCGTGTCCCGGCACCGCCGCGGTCCTTATAAATTCACCGATAACGCGAGCTGCCTTTTTCCCCGCTGTCGGCTCCGAGCCGACTCTCCGTTGCCCCGCCAACAATTTCACCGTGAAATACGAGCACCGGAACCTCTAATTGGAAATCCGCGAATCGGCTCCATCCCCGTTTCATTCCGGAACACGCGGCCGTACCTCCTCGCCGGACACCGCTCGGACACTCCTTTCTTTTCTCGGACGAGCCGCAATAACTAGACTGCGAAATTTATGCGTTCATTGTGGACGACGTTGAATAAAAACAATGGCATCGGGACTCCAATAATATTTGATGCCCGGCCTCTTTTGTCTCGCTGGCTTTTAGACATTAGTCGCGAATATATGAATTCCTGATGCTCGGCGCTATTCATGCAAATTGCCGTCTTCACGGTGCAGCCTGTAGCTCCAATTGGTCAAACTTGATGCAGGGAAGAATACAGTTTTGTTCGAGTGCTTGGTTCGGTTTCTCGAAGATCGTCCGGTGGTATTGGCAACAGCACGGAAACAAGGGAACCCAGAATCACGTAGTCCAAGTTGCTGCTAGCAACTTGTATGCAAATTGCCGTCTTCACGGTGCAGCATGTAGCTCGAATTGGTCAAACTTGATGCAGGGAAGAATACAGTATTGTTCGAGTGCTTGGTTCGGTTTCTTGAAGATCGTCCGGTGGTATTGGCAACAGCACGGAAGCAAGGGGACCCAGAATCACGTAGTCCAAGTTGCTGCTAGATGCTAACGCGAAGTTACATCGTGGTGAATTAATTTGCAAATAAAATGCTCGACTCGGTGTTCGCCTAAGTTATTCTTATAAACGATACGTTTGGCGTAATGACTTTTTTCATGTACCATTAAGCACATTTAAATACGAAGCGACAAGATCATTTAATCAATT